CCCCCGCAGTGTGTGTGGCATTTAAGAACAGACCAGATGTCTTCCCGGCACGGTGTTGTTCATGTTATACTACAGGCTGGTAAACTGAAGCTGACAGGCCAAACCCAGCCCTGCTCATTGGTTATTAATTGTGTGGCTGCTTTCATGCTCCAACAGCAGACCTGAGTAGTCCCAACAGACTGTGTGGCCTGCAAAGCTGAAAATATTTACTGTCTGGCTCTATGTTTGTGCATCCTTGTGTTATAATGTCCCTTCTCTTGATCTAACTTTTAGGTCTACTACATTTCTGAGCCAGTTCAGCATGTAAATTATCTGCACGATGGATCTGCAGAAAGAAATTTATTCACCTACTGATTCTCAGTAATTGCTGTCATCCAGTCCACTTTTTCTCCCCCTACATCACAGAAGAAATCACAAGACTCTCGGAATTAGTAGCCAAGTCACAATGAGTTCTTAATAGAAATATATATATATATGTATATATATTTTTTAGGTAGCGATATTTTTGACAGTGTAAGTATCCAATAGGTCAATTCAGGACAGATAACATCATGGGGCCCAAGGAGGAAGCCATGAGAGGACCTCACCACTGCTCAACTTTTTTCTCCATAACGAACTGTCCGTGAGGGCCCTGAGCATCTGAGGGCAAAAGGGCCAAGTACACAGGGGTCTCTGCTCCTTCTTCCGGGCTCTTGGTGGCTTTGGGTCCTGCCATGTCGGTTCTCACCCACCCTGGACAGCAGGCATTCAGGAGGATCTTGTCCCCTCCCCTCTGCTTACTCAGGTTCCGGGCATGGATTCTGGACAGGACCGTGACGCCAATCTTTGTCACTCCATACGCGGTATTAGGCCAGCCTTCCTTCTGGTGTATTCCATTCTTCGTGTCTTCCACGAACTTGTTCATGAGCCCCACCAGCTCCTCCTCGCTGATGGCCTCGCTTCTAAACTTCTGCTGCAGTTCTGGGCTGCAGCTTTTAAGACTTTCTGAACATATCATGCCAGACACATTCACCACTCTGCCTAAAATACAAAACAAATCGTTATGTAGGAAGGCGCACACAAGAATGGTGATATTTGGGACAGCACTTACCTCATGTAGGAGGCCATGAGGAAAGGAACAATATATTTTTGGAGAGGGTACACATTGGGCTTTATCTATTTTAGTATTACAAGTAATACTCTTTTATATCTAATGTTGGATTGAAAGGATCTGGGGGGTTGTTTTGTCATTCTTTAAAATTACTAGAATGAAATACTTCCCTTAAAACTAATAAATAAGGAATTGCAACGGGAAGAGTTTGGTAAGCCCATTACCCAGAAAACTAGTGAACATTATTTTAAAACCCCAACTATTTAAAATGTATGGAAATGGTCCTGAAGGCATATACAACAAACGAAGAAACAGTTATTCTGGAAAATCTACTATACCTCAGAAAGAACAGAGTCTGTGGTATTTAAACCGTGAGCAGCCCCCTCCCTCTCCTCTTCCTGTCCCAGTGCCATGGGAACGCCACTCTAGGAGGGTGCATGAGAGAACACAGGCCTGCCTCTCTCCCAAGGGCTATGGTATCTTCCCAAGATGGGTAGGATATCAGCATTGCTCAGCCTGCCCAAGCTACCTGCTGCAGAGGTTCAGTTCCTGGAAAGGGTATCCGAGAGGTGAGGACTTCCGTCTTCCACTCAGCCCTCGGTTGAGGGACGAAGGCTCCGCCTGGTTCTGGGCATACCGAGAATACTGGCATCTAGTTTTCCCTTGCCTTGGCTTGTAAGGCAGAAGCATCACGCAAAGAGAGGCATCCTAAGGGCACTCTGGAAAACAGCGGAAGTTGTGGCAAAAAAAAAAATTAGCAGGAGATTGATAGCTTCATTAGAGACAGAAGCTAAATCATATAAGTCAGCAAGTTTGCCAGAGAAAACTAGAGGTGTAAAAAAATAAATATAAATAGAGCCAATTTAGGGCTGGCCGAGTGGCGCGTTGGTTAAGAGTTGGCTTGGGATGCCAGAGGGCGCCGGTTCGGATCCCATATATGAGGGCCAGTGACACTGCCCTCTACAGCTAAGATGCTGAACAACAGCTCGACCTGGAGCTGGGCTGCCGTGAGTCGCTGGCGACGGCATAGGCTGCAGTGATGCTGCAGTGGGGCTGCCATAAGCTACCATGAGTGGTTGGCAGCCAGCGTGACCGGCCAGCAGCCGCAGTGAGCAGCCGTCCAATGGCCAGTGAGTGACTGCCTCACCCGGGAAGAACGCAATGATGGTGCCAACTTGGGCTAGTGAAGCAACGTCTTCCACAACTAGACTGACGAACAAAAAAGACAGCAACTTGTCTGTTCCCCTTCCCCCAATTCCCCAGCACTCTTCCCATCCCCCAATTCCCCAATTAAAAAAAAAAATCTTAAAAAAAAATAGAGCCAATTTAAATTGGAGCTGCGGCAGTTCCGGTTGGAGCAGTTCCTAGAGGAACCGCCTGGCAAGTCTTATGCCTCAAACCTTGGAATATTAGAACAGGGCAAGATAACCTTTGGGCTGGGCCTCAAGCAACCTGTGTCCCAAACAACTGTTTGCAAAGATAACAAGAAAGCAAATCTTATGACTACTGGGCTGATGATTACTGGATTGAAAATTAAACACATTGTTTAGAATTAGCATCACTATGTTAGGTTATCTGCACCAATGGAAATGCCTTCCTTCTATGGATGAAATTGTTTTCCTTCCCTTTCTCATCAGTACCCATTACCTTTATCTCTTAATCAGAACACTATTTGGGCTTCTGCCTGAATCAGTCCCTCGGGAATAGCTATTCCTTGGGATCTCAAGTAAATGTGTGTTGCCTGTCACCTTGGCCTTTTATTTGTAGATTAACAGTTAATTATTACAGTAGTTTAAACCAAAGAAATAATGGTTTGTTTTTGTCACAACACAGCACGTTGAAGGGGAGTTAAAATGGGCCTGGAGTTACACAGTTTGGATTACAGAAATTCCTACAAGCTTTGCCAATGGCTGGACTTTTCTCCCGAAGGACTCTATGGAGGGCAGTGAGCATGCAAAGAATACAGAAAACGCCCAGCAAGAAAGAGACTCATGAATGCAGGTCCCTTGGGAGGGTTTGCAATTCTCCAGAGACAGCTGAGGGCCTAGTGGAGAGCTGGGATGTAGGAGAAGGCTTTGGAAAAACACAGGAGAAAAACTCTTAGATTCTGGTGATGATAAAGGGGCAAAACATGGTGACCTCCAGGATCCTGGTGGGTGGCTGGTGGGGTCAGTGACCAAGGTGATTTGGGGAAAGGACGAGTGTCCTTTGGAAATGGCTGCTTTAGAAGAAGAAATTTCAGGGAGGAAGGGTGGACATCAGGAGGGGAGGCGGGAGGACACAATTTGTATCTGAAACTCTGGGAATGTTCCAGGTGGGTGACAGATTTTAGGGGGTCTAACGAACTGGCGGTAGTGAGGGCTCCGTGAGCAGATCACTCAGCGAGAGGGAGCGGGAGAGGGAGAGTCCCTGCATGGGGTCCTCCGAAAGGGCACGAGCAGTTACTGGTCTCTCTGAGGAGACTCCTGAACAAAGACCTGAAGGATACGAAACAGCCACTTGTGCACAG